CATGAAACTGGCTCTTTAAGTAAAAGTAACACTGCCAGAAAGCGATCGTCCAATTCTCACCCACGGTCAGCAGCAGCAGCAGCAGCAGCAGCAGCAGCAGCTGCAGCAGCTGCAGCAGCAGCAGCAGCATACAGCATGCATAGACGCGCATGGAGAGATGGACTCATTCATGTATTCATACACGGAGTTTGCATTTGCAGGAAGCTACATGTATCAGCATCCAGATACATGCCACATGCTTGTGTGTATGCACGCAGACATACGGACACACAAACAGAGAGACAGACAGACAGACAGACAGACAGACAGACAGACAGACAGACAGACAGACAGACAGACAGACAGACAGACAGACAGACAGACAGACAAAGAGACAAAGAGACAGAGAGACAGACATAGAACTAGAACTGTTTGGACATGCATGCACACATGCTCACACACGCACACATACCTACCTGCCTACCTACCTGCCCACTCGCCTACCCAGCTTACCTACCTACCAAAATACCGACCTACCTGCCTGTCGGGCAGGCGCGACATGCGTGCATGCATGCTTGCAAGCATAACGGCTACATTGCATTGCTTTTTACATTACACTACATTACATTACATTACATTACATTACATTACATTGCATTGCATTACATTACATTACATCGAATGACCTTAGCTCACCTTACACCCTTCGAGTGCATTCTGTTCATTGCATGATATTGCCATGCACTACACTACGCTGCCACTACACCGTGCACATACATTTTGCACATATCCATATCTGTCGACACGCACTGACCTGCTGGTACATTTACGTATGCACAGAGGTGCACACAACATGACTGCACACATATGACACATACGTCAAGGACAAATGAATGGAGGAACACGGATAAACACCGAGAGACAAGCCGATACACGAATAGAGATAATAGAGGTATACGGAAGCAAACACAAATAGGAATGGCCGGATCAGCTAGAAAGCCGGCGCGCAGGCAAATCAGCCAAATATCAATAAGTCGTGCATCTGGCCACTGTTTGAGTTTTACTGCACGACGCATGATGCAGCAGCAGAACTCCAAGCTTGTGAGCGGGTTGACGCGGACTCTCTCAACCATGTGGCCTGACGAAGCTCTGGAGGACAACCTGGCAACCCTCGACGGAGCTCGAAAATCTGGCGCAGGCCAGCTCATCAACGCAGATCAGTCTTCATCATTCTCAGCTGAGCTCTGGCAGCGGTTGTGTCGGCCTCATAGGTACCCGGAAATGGAGTCATGTAGCCGCCAGGAATGGGAAAGCATTTGAAGCCCTCCTCTAACAGAAAAAACGTTCAGTAAAGTTGGAGAAAAATGGCCTAAAGGCTCCTTGTACGCAGAAGGATTGCTGAAGAACTTGCGGCTGTAGCGGTACAGATCGTTCAAGCGGGCCTGTTCCTGCCACGGGTGGAAAGACTCCGGAGATGCACACTGTGGCAACGGCGAAGCCTCATTGCTGAACTTGAGGATAACATACCTCATCTGGGGTATATAGAATATTCATTGCATTGTTAAACATGTCGGCACACACTCTGCAAAATCGCGGCTCAGGTCTACTGAAAACTTGCCGGGCAGACCCTTTTGCCTTCAGTGCGTCCAGCGCCTGCAGTGTCGATCCGTCTGTACGTTGACGCCCATTGCCAGCAGCATCCAGTTTCACGGCATGGCATGTTGTAGAATTGAGTCAGGTGCCCACTTCGGATGCTCGCTACAGCAACCGCGTATGCGCAAGCAAGGAGGAGGAACACTCGGCAAGAACCTGGCAAGAGACCGTTTCAGTCCCAGATGTTTCTGCTCTGGCGTGGCCTTGATCTCTGAGTCGACCATGTCAGGCGACATCTCTTCCTTGGACCCCTCTAGAAGCAAAGTCTAGGAATGCGATGAGTTCAGTTGTGGCAATACACACGCGTCCGACCCTACAGTCCCGAGATAAGGGTGAGCACACAACGTATTCATGGCATCTTTCAATTCACACTGGATTTCAGTTGCCGTTCCATCTACATACCTGAGCACGCAAGCGAAGTTGATCTTTCGCATAGCAGGGGGAACTCTGGAATGAAAGCTAAATGGGGTGTTTGAGGGACATATTTAAGCGCAGTCGTGCCGACACTACGCACAGCCGCCACCACACATTTCTCAAGCTCTTCCAGCCTGCTGCACAACTCCAGTCGCGAAAATTAACCAGTCATATTGCAGAACGGACGTGGAAGAGACGCTTGGCTCGAGTAATGTGTGCGGTCGTGCGTGCGAGCGAGCGAGCGAGCGAGCGAGGAGGGCGGGCGGGGGGGGGGGTGGGCACGTCAGTCGAACCTGAAGAGCTGGCAACAGTTTCAGACTTATCCCGTCACTGCTTTGGATATGCTGCATTCACGGCCTGATGTCTTTCATGTTGAAGTCCACGTGCTGATGCAGTGTCGTGTCTGCCGTCAGCTCGGTTGGGGAGTTCAGGGTGTTGCAATGTGTTGCACACATACATACATGCATGCATACGTACATACATAAAGCCTTGTTTTCCCTCATGATGACATGTCAGGTCAGTCCCTACGGTCCGAATCTGGGAAGTGCCTTGCGGGAGAGAGCTTAGGGTGGAGGAGAAACCGACTTTGCGAGCATGTTGGAAGTTTGTATATGTGTGCATGTACCCGTCTATGTACATAACACACACACACACACACACGCGCGCGCACACACGCATAGGCAAATGTATCAAAAGTTGGATCTTTAGATAAACGCATGCATGCATACCGACGCACGACAAACAGGCAGACAGAGACAGACGGACAGACAGACAGACAGACACTGCAGAGGATGGGCTAGCTGGACGGGCGCAGAGCTCTTTTGATGCAATAGCTGCTGAGCTTCTGACAGTGTGGAAGTCCAGTCACTGGCGGGGGCAAGGGCGTGGGGAGATGCCGGAAGTAGCAACTTGCTTAGGAGAAACCCCAACCTCTGCAACCAGCTCACATCGAGCTTGGATCAATCGATCCAGGATATCTCCCGAACACGACTCACAGACGTGCGGTTGCGAGAATGCGCACGGGGATTCCTCCTTAAGGGCAGAGACCCACAAGGCACGTAAGGAGAAGAGCGAGCGTGCCCACAGGAAAACAAGGACGGCAAGGAGTACCACTGCAATCTGTGGCTCGTAGATAGAGGCCCATCCAGTCACTTGATGATGATGCTTGCTTTTTCGCCGACGCACAGCATGCAGGAAACCCGTGGGCTATTCTCTTTGCAATCGCCTGGCCATGCATAGGGGTGCAAAGGTTTGCTGAGTGCTTTTCCGCACAACTTTCCGTGCACACCGGCTATGCTGTACTCGATCCTCGATGTACGTACGTACGTAGGTATGTATGTACGGATGGAAGTTGAGATGTTTGGATGTTTGGATGCTTGGATGTCTGTCTGTCTGTCTGTCTGTCTGTCTGCCTGCCTGCCTGCCTGCCTGCCTGCCTGCCTGCCGGGTTGTCTGTCTGTCTGTCTCTCACTTGCGCCAGCTTGCTGCCTAACCTAACTAAAGACTTTACGGGGCTTACGAACTTACGGGCATTTGGGAGCCCACAGACATCCACAGACTCCCCAGCTATGATCTTGCAGCACGGACACGCAGGAACACCAGCAATGTCTGGAACCTTAAGTAAGCTTCGGAATAATTGAGAAAACACATCTATTGTTTGTAGGCTTTCAATCGACGGAATTCAGTGATTACCCAAATCTGAAATTGATAGCATCTCAGGATTTCCTTCATAGGTTCACCAGTTTTGTACAGGCTGAGGAACTTCAAGACAAAAAGGAGACGAGTAAGGGGACGAGCAGCAGAAGCGAAGCACTTGCAATGCCAGGAATAGATTCTGGAAGAAGCAGTCAGATTCCCCGAAACAGGCTACCATGTTCCTGCCATGCTTCCAGCCGAAACGTCGAGCACACCCGAAAGTGGTTGGACTCCTGTGGCCTGAGGCGAATCCACAGGGCCATGAGCTAGGCAAGGCTGTTTTGAGAGGCTGACTCGGGAATGGCTGCTGCCTCGGCTGCCTCACACGGGCAAACTGAATGGAGGCATGCAAGGCTGTGGCTGCACCTTGCAACTACACACTGCTGTCTCATGCATTCGAAATTCAGGTTGCGGTACACAACCCCCACACCCAGAAGGTTTTAGCAGCCGACGCCTCCGATAAACATTAAACGGCCAGGGGAAATGCACATATTCAGAGGTTTGGGGGGGACCTTGATCCAGGGATATCCCAACATCGACTGCTTACCGACTGCTCAAAACATGCACTGCACTCCTGCTCTGGCGCTTTCGGAAGCCCAGAAGCCCGCAGCCCGCAGCCCAAAAAGCCAGAAACAGCAAGCAGTGCCTCGCAACATGGAGCAAAAACCAAGAACCGGCCGCCGGCCGCCGGCCGCCTTCTGTCACCTCCCAGCCTTACCCGCCCCCTGGGAGGACTGCACGAGCCCGGGGTGCCGTGGTTCCTCTCACAGACGCCGGATTTTCCCTGGGCCGGAAATGTATTTGGCGAAGCGCGCCCCCATCCGTCATACATTAGTTGGTGTATCAGACAGACTCCAGAGACAGGCGCCCATCCACCCTGGGAATGTATATGCGCAAAGTGTGGCCCTGGTATACAGTATAGGATCATCTGCTCTGAGGGAATTCCATCTTAAGCAAGCAGGCAAATGGAACGTTCGTTATTCTGCAACTGGGGTCTCAGCCAGCTGCTCACAGCAGCGCATGCTTGCATCGCTGACGATGGCACGCTGGACTTCCTAATACGATGCTCCTCATGCATGCTAGAATGCCATTCTGAGCACTATATAGTAATATAGCTTTCATGCATGTGGCCCCTCGTGGGAGGGTTCTAGGGGTTGCGCTTGAGCTTCACACGTCTTCAGCCGCTCGCTGTTCTGAGCAACTCAGGACACCAGACATTACAGGCCAGCCACTTGGCAAAGTCGATCTCAGTGCAGGTCCTGAGACACCTTTGGCTCCCCTGACTTGTCTCAGTTTCACCTTCGGCAGATTCACTCATCAACGCATCCACAGGAATGAGTAACGGTTGGGGAGTTGACTACTTAGTTGGGCGGCTGGGTCATAGGGTTGGTGAGCCGGGTGAAGAAACTTTATCCGACCGCGTGCGAACAGATTACAGGGAAGCCGCACAAAGGTATACATCATGGTCATGGATTATGAATACGGGTCACCTATCATCCTCACCAGCTCAATAAGCTAACTCAAAGGCTCAATGCTTCGCTGCTCCTGACAGCCCCCATGAAACACCTTCCTAAAACATCTAGGAATCTCTCGGCATCTCTCTCGTCAAGTCTGCAGAGTGGCTTGCTCATGCTAAGCCGACATCAGCTGATGCGAGCAAATCTCTTCAACCCCAAACTGAAGTGCCTCCACGGTTTTGCCATGGATTTGCTGTGTGGCACCTGAGCTCAGGACCTCAGTGATCGAAGTCTGAGCTGTGGCAGGTTAGGTCGGGAAGAAAAGAGTTTGGGGCAGCGACACCTGTTCTGCAAATGTGGTGCTATGCACAAGTCGTATCTGCGCTCTTGCTCTTGGCGATAGTTTGACGAATGTCTGCACGTCCAATCCAAACAAAAGTGAAAACCGGCTGCTAACTAACCTGTCGGCCTGCAGAGTGGGTTGTGCGGAAACCTCAAGTCGCGCTGCCCAGGACCTCCTCCGCCAAGTTTCACCCTTGCCCCAGCTGCTCTTCCACACCCTTGCTGCCACATGCACACAAAAGGCATCAACGACGCTGAAATTGTTCGCACCCCAGACTGGTCACAAGTAAACAAGGTAACAAAATCCTTGAGCTCGCACATTTTGTAAGCTTTATCCCCTGAGCGGTTCAACTGAATTGTCGGACCACCGTGCTGGAAAGACTGCATGGGATTGGCATTGCTCTCATTGGTCGCTTGGTGCAGCTCACTGCGATGAGCAACATCATGCAATGTCACAACCGGGCGCAATACCTTTTCTCTCGCACCCGGCTCCCTGAACTCCACGAAGCCAAAGCCCTGCAGCGTTTGGCAGCTTTATCTGTCTGACAGCCCGCGACTCCTGCCTTGGGCTTCCCTGTCTTTTGATTCATGACCACGGTGGCATCCTGCTACATCCGTCTGGAGATTATTTGCGTTTGCGAGCATGTGGCGCCCGCTGCTGGCGAATGAAGCTGTCCGTACACTGTTACACTACGAGATGTCCTGGACAGTGCCGAACTGCTCAAAGTGTTTGCGCAGCTCCTTGTCGTCCACCCTGACAAATCCACACAGAAAACACATGCCCGGAGAGATCCCTACCTGACTCGTCCAAGCAGATAAGCATGTGACGAGGTTGGCAGCCCACCGACAAAAATCCCACGGCCCTCGTCCTGTCAGTCACCGATATGTGCCTTGCTCTGCCTGACAACCCAGAGGTGCTGCCTTGCCACTACCGTTGCTCGGTACACCTGGCATGTGCCGATGAACTCGCCAGCTAGGCCTTACAAAATGGACAGGTTAACCTGGCTTTCGTATGAGCAAGTGCGAGCCTCACCCCCCCCCCCAACCCCATGTTGTAACGATCTGGTGGTTCTGTGACCTTACAACCCCCCGGTCCCAATTTGTGAGGATCTGGTGGTCAGACTTCACCTCACCCGTCCCCTCATCTTGTAAGGAACCAGTTTGTTTGTAGTGGACATAGCTGCGACAGTGCACTCCAATGCCAGACTAGAATCCAGAGCCTGGATTACCTTTCGACGATGGATCCCGTGTTTAGGTAAGAGTCTGCCCGAGCCTCTAGTATCTCCGCCTTTCGAAAATTTCTCGTACCAGGGCCATGTCTTTCCGAGTGACCTTCTGATGCCTCATAAAGCTACCAATCCATGGGGCTGTCGCTACTCCTCGTACTACTACTATGGGACTGCGTTCGTTGGGCCTTTATTTTCGGGTCCGCCGGGAACCCTAAATCCCGTGCAGGCACCGAGAGACGGCTACAAACCACTCTAAGGGAAACCTTGGTCGCACCAGTTCCATTTTTCGATCGGGGGTTCAGGGTGTACGGACAACTCAGTTACATGACCCCTCAAGTGTATACAAAGTCGTTTCCGGTTGATGCGGCATTTCCTGTGCATTGCCGTGACACCATTGACACCGCGAACCTAGGCCGTGACCCCCCAAAAGCCTAGACATGTTGACGTCTTCACGTCGTCGTTGCCAGCTTCTTGTCGTCATGTTGTCGCACCCACATTCGCTCAACCCCTTTGGACATCGAGGGAGATGCTGTCACGCAGAAGCTGCGAGAAGTCAAAGCAATCTGGCCGTCGGCGACCATCTGTGCACGTTGCGAGCGCAAGGGCCTTCGCCTTGCAGCGGCTCTGGATGCGAAACAGCGAAGATTGTCATTTGCATTAAAACTCTGGCCATGGCTGTGGGCGCGGCAGCTTCGACCGCCTGGCTAAGGATGCCCACAACTGCTCACTGAACGAAACTGGATCCCAGTCTCCTCTCGACATGGACAAGGGCAGGCCGGGGCTCTATCTATAGCTCTGTGATGTGGAAAAGGGTCCATCACTGTTCCGTCTGATGGGCTTAATGACTGTCTGAACAGCAAGTACATGATGCCACCGAATACCGCCGACTTCTTGGCTTCGAGCCTGCCGCTAAGTTTCATTTGGAGAACTTTCGTCAGTCATGACCAAGCACCCAAGCACCAACCTTTGGAATGCTCCCAATGGTGGTTTAGGAGCTGAGAGACTGTCTGCAAGCCTACCATGGTGCAGGCGTGACTGACTTGAGTTGTTTCAACGGAACGTCTAGCTCACACGGAAAGGAAGCGGCAGTGAGCAACCACAACGCACACGTTACGTACTCGATGGCGATCGATGGCGGTTCTTTCCGCCTTCTTCTGGCACAGCGCCGCGGCAAGGGTGCATCCTACAAAAAAAATCAAGTTTTCCCGCACCTTGTCAGCATCGCTCTTCTCGGGATCGGGTTGCCATCCTCTCGTATCACTGCACTGGGAAATGACTCAAAGAGGCGCCAAGTCCGCGCGCGCCTAGGGCCATGACCTCGGAGAGAGCGGCTCCGGCTGCCAATGTCAGGCCCTTCTCAACACGACGCCCAAGGCCAGCACGGGTTTTTCATGCGCCGGACTCCCCTTCAGCCTGCAAGGTCGAAGCGCCAAAGCTCCATGAGATTCCATGAATTCACTTTATGCCTCTTGTTCCCTCCGTGTCCAGGCACGTCTGCCTTAAGGCGGCATGCCATGCGAGGCTGCATCTCATGTTTAGCTTCGGCGTTCGAGGAGCAGACTTGGTGCCTCTTCTGTGAGCCTTGAGAAGGCTCCACCTCACAACGACGGTCTCAGAACTTCCGGCCCGATGTCTTTGCATCTCCTGGATTCCTGGATCTCGGGCTGCAGCTCCAGCAGAGTCCAACACCTCCACGTCCACGACCTGTCGAAGAAAGGAGTGGCTCAGGCCGATGTCACAATCCTGGTCTGTGATCATCTCACAAGCCAACCTCATCGTCTCTGAGGACTTCTCGCACCTGCCGGGTTCTGCCCAGGAAAGGGGCTCCTGTTAAGTGTCCACAAAGAAATGAGGTGGTCGGTGTGCTGTCATGCTTTCTGAGCCTGCGCTAGCTACCCATATTTCTCTCATAGCTCAAGATTTGCCATCCATCATTCCGCTTGCCTTGCGAGCGTGGATTCTTTATAGGGCGTGTATGCGTGCGTCTTTTCTGAGGAATTCAAAGGGTATGCTACCCATCGTGTCTCACCGTTTGCCAAATCCGGCACCTGCCTGAGCACCACCAGAAGGGAGGAGGAGGCTTACACTACAACAAGAAGTGACAGCACCATCCTGCACCCCACAGTGATCAGAGGATTGGCACACGAATTTTCTTGATAGGAATGTCCCGCGGCAAACCCCGAGATCCTTTGCATGCGAAGCGCACCGTGAATCGGAAATTCCATGAATCAGCAGTCGTGGCCTCTGAACAACATGTGGTGGATACTGGGCAGCGATGAACCAAGACACTTCCATTGACTTGCGCGTTGGACCTCCTCATCATGTGGCACCATGAAGCCATCGAGCCTCAGCGACCCTTATGGCCTTGCGGCTTCATCTACCGGAACTCGGTTGCAGTCCGAGCTTCTTGCACTAAAGCTAAGCATGCGCTGGGTGTAGATCATACAAGTTCAAACAGTTCAAACCCGTCTCGCAGCCACTCGAAATCGCTGAGGACCATTGCATTCACTAGCAACACATTCTCCAGAAGCACGGGATCCGGCAAGATCTGCGGAAGCTCTGCATTGCCGCCATGGAGGTTCAGTTCTGCCCGGATGCAAACAGCTCAGGATTCACCGGAGTCAGCAAAAATTGCATAAGACATCACAGGATCTGTGAACAGAAAAACAAGTCTGGGCTGTAATGTGAAGGATTACAGATGCACTACCCGTCACTACCCCGCGAAAATTCCTGCATCCCGCCCCACTCCCGCGCAGACATGTGACCTGGTAACACAATGAGGGAAGCTCAAACTCCTTGGGGTAACCAGACTGCAGTTTGGCGGGTTAAGTACGGTCCGCAACGACCGGTCGACGTCAAAGTCTCAGACGATAACAGGCTTCGAGACCCAATCTTGCCTGCAACACAGTATGGTCGCGCAGTTGGCAATTGGAGGCATGCAATCTCAACAGGCACGTGTACCATCGCACGCGTCTCGTGGACAAAGCAACACGCCTAGAGAGGCCTACAAAACTAGCGCTGAGTTGAGACTGCAAGACCCTTCGTGCCATCAGATGGTTCCGACTGGCTCTGAGGTGCTTTAGACACTTGAAGTATCGCGTGGTCTACTTTTCAAGTAACAACGAGTCACTATCCGGCTTCCCTCTTCTTCAGGACGGATGGATTTCTCCCGGATGACATGGCACACCGAAGTCTTCTCTGCAAACCCAAAACGATCATGAGACAGAGCTTGATGTCACGTCTGAGAATCGGAGCCAGCAGCCAAGACTCATAGACTCCTCAAATGTGCCCGCTCAGCTTGAAAGAAGCGCCGGTGTTCAACTTTCAATAACAACAGGTTCGAGGAGGCGGTAGATCTGGACATGGGTCGGCGATGCTGCAGAATGTTCCGAAAAACATGAGAAAAAAACACACGAGGTTGCCGGTTGCACGATCAAAGTTTGCGAACTCCGCAGTGGCATTCGCACATCCTCCCTTGGTCACGTGCCAAATCACCATCGTGATCCTCAGCCCTTAAGCTTAAAAATCTCAAACCACTGGATCTTCGTGTTCGGTCAGCGCGTTGAATTTCAAACGTTGGCTTGTGGGGATTGTGGCAAGGATTAGCTGGAATTCCTAGTTTGATGCAGACAAAAACCCCTAGGCTATATCTAAACGCAAGCGAAGCCAACGAAGGTCGAGCCAGTTCGGAGAGGCGCTGCTGTTTCTGAGATGTTCTGACATGGTCGCTGTTGCGGTGAAGGCCAAGACGGACTTCATGATCTAGCAGGATTTCACACCGCACTGATGTCATTTCAGGTTCCGTGCAGCTGTCATCATGGACGTGCACACGCCAAGAAATGGCCCAATCCGAATCTGTTTGCATGAGAAACTCCGAAGACGGCGTCGGAGATCCTTGCTACATGGACCAGGGACGGTAGGCCTCGGACGGAGTTGAGGGAAGGAGGGCCAGCGCGGAAGTTTGGCCTCCCCTCGGTGAGCGCTCGAATGTCTGGTGTCGACACTCGGCCTGAAAACCCAACGTGGCGCCTGGAACGCTATTCTCACTCGGTGGTGCCTGCGCAGGAGCTCATGCTAAAAACGCATGCCCGCGCAAGGAAATCGGAAGAAAACACTTGACCGGGCCCGGTGGAAAGGCCATTCTCGAAGCTATTTCAAAATGACACATTTTCTACTTCGTGAACAGCAAACGATTTTATCATTGCTTTTCACTCGTCGTTCTGAACACGAGCATTTGCCATGAGTAGCACCAGCGGAATCCTGCCTAGCAGTCGGGATACATGTCCTGCAAAGTCTCGCACTGTGAAGACGTTTTCGGGAACATGGACCATGCACCTGGGCAGAGCTGGCACAATGCGCTGGAAGTGATGCGCGAAGGCTGCCCGTGTCAGAACCGCTGCCAGGAAGCCATTGCAGGTCACCGAGCCTGCACGGCTTCACAGTTTCGAGCATTTCCCGAAAGGCAGCTGTTCAAGCCTGTAGGAATTTCCGCATCGCAGGCGCAGCCGCATGCTGGTGAAGAGCAGTCTGCTGGCCACGATGCTAGATAAGGACTACGATACGGTGAGTTCTCCTGACTTGCTGACAGCCTTGCCGGCGAAGAGTCTCACACTTATGGTGCATAGTCATGACTTGTTCTTGCGCGATCATCCTGAGGTCTGCTGCTACTTCTGCATTCTCTGAAAATCGGTTGATGCTACTGACTGGACCGACTTGGCACCGCAAAGGTCCGCCTTGCTCCGGCATCGTACCCGGGCCATGCTGCATATCTTGAAGCCAGACTTCCAGCCGGTAGTAGTAGTAGTAGTAGTAGTAGTAGTAGCAGTAGTAGTAGTAGTCGTCGTAGTAGTAGTAGTAGTGGTAGTAGTAATAGTAGTAGTAGTAGTAGTAGGAGGAGCAGGAGGAGGTTGTGTTGTAGTTGTCGTCGTCATCGCCGTCGTTGTAGTCGTAGGAGTTGAGTAGGAGTAGGAATAGCAATAGGAGGAGTAGGAGTAGGAGCAGAAGCAGGGCAGGAAGTGCCTTTTAGAGCGACACCGGATGTGCTCTGCCGTCTTTGCGCTTCTCATAAGTGGTCATGTGCTGCTTAATTGAGGATGGGAGGCTCTCTCCAACTCTGGTCAGGCCCGCTCCGTGGCTGACCACGCTGCCCACTGCACGTCCACACCAGAGCTTCCTTCGTCTTTGCAGGTGTTCAGGAACAGAACACGTCGCGATCCGCTTCCTTCTGGCAATTCATCGGGGTCCGTCGGAGCCAGCCCGAGGCAATGAATGACAGATGCATAAGATGATTACTGTCCTTGGTCTTGGCCATCTGGGGCAAGCTCTTGCACCTCTTCCGACACGCACCGAAGCACCCAACAGCTGCACTCATCCCAGAGTTCCATGTGAGTTACCCGTAGTCCTGCCAACTCAACAAGTACATGTAAATGCTTGGGTGATCGTGTCATATCAAACCGGCCTTCTTTTCCTGGAGTGTCCATGTGGAACGAAAACGAGTCTTGAGACATATTGTTCTCCTTTAGAACTATGACTCCTTGCGATGTCAATCCAGCTGACAGATTTTGCAGAAGGTGAACAACATCTTCGTCGGTCAGATACTGCAAGGTCCACTGTATCCAGATTACGTCAAAGCTGCTGGATGGCCGGTATGTTTCAAGTCGACACTGGATGAAGTGGCATCGATCTGCCTCGCATTCCAAGTACTTCTTCGCAGTCTGCAGCCATCTCTCCGACTGATCAACTAAAGTGACGGAGCCTGTCACTGCAGGTAGAAGCACTGCCTTCGTCACCCTCCCGATGCCAGCACCACAGTCCAACGCCGAGCAAGGATCATCGAGCATGCCCTCTAGGGCCTTTCGAAGAAAATCTTGTGAGTGCTGCACGTCCTCTTGGCTTGCCTCATCACCTATCATCGTGCCCTCAAGAGACACGCGTCCTTCGTAGCCTTTGACCCACCAATTCTCGTTGACTTTGTAGAACTTGTCGCGCTGCTGTCCCTGTAAAAGCCAAAGTTCCGATAGGCTGCTGTACTCTCTCCCCGAATCATCCACCCCGTGAATGTCCTGCCCAAGCTCACGCACACGCTGACCCAGTGTCGCAGGTCTCGGCTGAACGAGTGGACGTTTTACCTTCTGGCTTCGATGTGGCTTCTTACCCATGGCCCATGGCATGCATGGACACTCCGTAGCAGAGCAAGACCGCCCACCGTCCAGGGTGATGAACTCGATGGTTTAGCAGTATGTAGCAGTTGTGCATACCATCTTGCTGAATTGTGATGCTTCTGAGGGCTCTCACAAGGTGCTCGTTGCTGCCTTCTTTCCAGTAAAGTGTACAAATACAAGTTGACAGTTCTACTTGTGGCTGACTTTGTTAGCGATCGCTTCTTGAGACCCACGCGAAACACCACTTCATCAAAGAATCAAACTACAAGCGCAGCGAAGCAGCAAGCCTGCAAACCGAAGTCGACATGTAATGCTTTTGTGTTATGCCACAACCGGTCAGCAGTTTGTTACTGAGTTACTGGTAGCATCTCCTGACCAGGACGAAAAAAGCAAAGGCATCTGGTAGCCCTTGCACTTGGCAGCTTGGCAGCCGTTCCATCAGGCCATGGCGAACTTCTAGCCTCTGCTCCTTCTGAAGATCCGTGTGAATTGGGGAGACTCTGAGCGAACATCTCAGAAGCTCGTTTTCGGCGGTGGGCGGCATGTTGCAGATGGGGGTCCTGCACAACAGTACGAACCCACCTTCTGAAACACACACACACACACACACAGGGGTGGAACAAAAGGACAGAGACATCTCACCTGCAGGCCTCCAAGCGTGTCTTGCGCAACGCAAGTCACCAGGTGCTTTCTCCAGCTTCCACATTCCTTGCTGCACGACCTCACACCTGTCAACAGCTGCAACGGATCCTGTTTCTTTCGTCGGATTCTGTGCCACGAGAACTCTGCAAGGCGCGAGCTGTGATGACTCAGAGAAGCAAGTTAAGTGAGTAATGTGCAAACCGTACGTAATCTGGAAGTCCAATCTTTCCGTGCCCGTTCCAGCATGGATCCAAAGCAACATTTGTGAGGTGTCAGGAAGGTTGCTGTATGCTTTGAAGCCAGTGCTCGAGCAAGTTCATCCGTCCGCGCATTCCCGGCATGTCTGTTCTCTGCACAAGCTGTGGTCGAACGCTCAAACTCCCGACTGCTAGAACGAAGTGGGCAGCTACCCCGCAGGCGAACCGTTACGTTCACGACACCAGCGTCGTATTCAGGACTGCGGGGTCGGTTCTCAAGGTCGCAGAAAATTTCTATGCAGAATTGCTCCAAAGGCAAGCAACCAATTCCGACTGGCTTGACCCATCAAAAGATCTGCTCGCCATCTGCCCGGAAAACATACACAGGCAAGAAATCAAAGCTAGAAATCAAAGCTGCCTGCTTCTTCTTCCTTTTTGGTAGCAGTGGTGCTCCATCAGCCTGTCCAGGTAAACGGCCACAGCAAATGCAAACGGAGCGAAAGCGGTTGTCACACCGCTCTTGATCAAGCTCTCACGCACGCCAACCACACCTTGCTGTGCTGGCCGCTGTCCTCGTGCCCGTGCTCAGAGGCTTCTATCTACTCTCTTCCGGCATGATTTGGTTCAACGCAGGTGTTCACAGAAGTAGGTGCCTCAATGGTGAAGTCCGGATCTGCAAACAAGGCCTCAGGTCAAGAAGGCTTCAGTCCGAACTCGGCAACAAGTGAGCCAACCAGAACAACGCTTCAGTCTTGCCTGGAACCGCTGATCTTGCAGAATCCGCTTTGCTTTGTCTGCAGCCTCGTGGTCTACACTGGTGGGGCCGGCATCCGATTGAGAGCATGTCTGGGAAGCCGACCTCCTTCCGTTTCTTCGATGCACCAACTCCAGAGCCTTTCAGCCACTTTACGAAGTTGCACTCAGAGCGATTCGACAGTGAAAGATCCGCAGCAACTTCAGAAATCTGATCCCTTGCAGGCCTTCCTCCGCTGTGAGTTGCAACTGTTCGTGGAAGCTGGGATTGACGTCTACCTGTGGATATGTCTGCATTTTCCGAGCTTTTCTCGAGTCTGCGCTGCTGCTGTAACCATTCGCACAATCCTTTCGGATGGCCTTGTTGTTCCTGATGCGTGTTCGCATGGTTCGTTTCGCTTCCAGCCGTTCTTTGACCTCGACCATTGGCAAGCGCACTTTCAATAATCTGACGGCCGTCGACAGTTGGTGTAAACTTGGTCGAGACCTAATTGACATTCTGGGATAAGTTCAGTGGTTTGACATTCACGACATGCTCAGGTCGCTAGTCAATCTCTGCCTTCTGCTTGCGATACTCCTCGAAGGCAAAAGGATCCAGGGCAGCTTTTAGCTTGGCGTGAAGCCGGTAGTCCTCCCAGCATATGCAGTATCATCGCAGTTTGTTTACAGCAATCGCGGCTCTGTCCATAAAGAAGCCATGCATGTAGGGCTGGAGATATTTTGTGCCAACCAACCTCACATCGCAATTTGAATCTGTGAAGTCCACCGCACTCCACCAGACTACTGAAGCACCAACCACTGCCAGGAGGCTCAGTCGCACCAAGCTGTTCAAGCTGATCTTTGGTAACGAACTGAAAATCCTGCAGCAGAATGCAGCGGCGCAGCGCTCTGGACACGGTACAAGGGGGCCATGCGCACTGGCCTCGAAAACAGTCTTCTGCTTGCTCTCTTCCAATTCCTGCATCGCTTCGGCATTAGCCATGGTATCCACGTGCAAGTTATCATAGGTCCTCGGTGATGTTGTCCAGGAATGAGCACCACCTCAGACGTCCACAAGATTTCAACCACGCAACAATCACAGACAGCAAGAAGCAACTGCGATTTGAACTTGAGAGCCATTTGCTGACATCGACATGTCGCTCAAATTTGCGTTCAGCTTAGTTGCGATGGTGCCAACCCAATGCTCGGGATGAAAAACAACCTCAGCATTCCCACACACACACACACACACATACACGCACACAGAGACACACACACACACACGCACGCACGCATGCGCGCGCGCGCACACGGGACACCGATTTGTCACGATTCGTCACGCTTGAACTTCTTTGCTTGCACTTCGCAAACATGCCTGAAGCCGTTACCACGCAAAACAAGCCGAAGACCTGGAAGCCTTTCCCACACAAAACAATGTGAAGACCCCGAAACATCCGCAACACCGACAACCCCGAAGACATATACGAAGCAAAATATGCAGAATGATCACCACCAGCGAGGACCCCAAACAGAATGCATCGAATCATGCCGGTTCAAGTTGGAACGTGTTGGAATCCAAAATGGCTTCGCCATCAGATGCTGCGAAACAAATGTTTAGGCATTAGGCAATATTCTTGTGCAAAAGAAGAAGGGGTGGTGATGACATTCGCACGCCAGGGAAAAACCCATAGCAGAAAGCAACAAAGGGAGTATAATGGGAGCCCAGCCCCTTTGCCGCCGCCCGTTCATCCGATGCAGGAGCCCAGAAAAGAAACATGAAGGGAGCCCAGCCCCGTCGCCGCGGCCCAACCATCCCAGGAGCCCGGACAGGAAACACCAAGGGAGCCCAAAAGGAAACATGAAGGGAGCCCATTGATGAAGGGAGCCCAATGATAGCCCAGCCCCGTCGCCTCGGCCCAGCCATCCGACCCAGGAGCCCAGACAGGAAACATGAAGGGAGCCCAAAAATGAAACAGAGCCCATTGATGAAGGGAGATCGATGGGAGCCCACGCCACGGCCCACCCATCCAAGAGAACATGACGCAAGCCCAATGGGAGCCCAGTCCCTTGGCCGCGGCCCACCCATCCCAAAAAAAAAGTCCAGCCCAATCGGAGCCCAACCTCTGTGGCCGCGGCCCACCCATCCGACCCAGGAGCCCAAAAAGGAATCATGAAGGGAGCCAAGCCCCGTCGCCCCAGGAGCCCAGACAGGAAACATGAAGGGAACCCATTGAGGAGGGAGCCCAATGGGAGCCCACCGTCACCGCGGCTACCCATCCGATTCAGGCCGCAGCCCACCCATCCGACCCAGGAAACATGAAGGGAGCCCAATGGGAGCCCATCCCGTCGCCGCCACACCCATCCGACCCAGGACCCCAGACAGGAAACATGAATGGAGCCCAAAAAGGAAACATGAAGGGAGCCCATTGATGAAGGGAGCCCAATGGGAGCCCACCCCGTCGCCGAAACATGAAGTGAGCCCAATGGGAGCCCAGCCCCGTCGCCGCAGCCCACCCATCCAGCCACCGGGGCCCACATTTTTTCTGAGGAGAGAACGCAAACCGTACCTGTTTGGGGAAAAAGCCATAACATGTGACTTGCTACATAATCGCTGCGGTCAATGCCACCCAAGTACTTTGCCAGCTCTTTTGATATGAAATTAAGCTAAACTAAATGCAGACGTCGCCGCCCAAGCGTGCAAAAGGATTCCCTTGCACACTCGAACCACATGAAATTTCCTGGAGCAAAACACGAACATAAAATGGAACTGATCTTGTGCAGGAACTGGCTTGGAGCGCACACACGCAAAGGGAGCGTGGGGGATTTATTCATCCTCATGGCGACAGCAGGAAAAGCATGTGTCACGTATAGATGATGAGCCAGCAGGAGACGATCCCAAAATGTATGGTAGTGCAGGTTTTGGACGAGCACGGTCGGGAGGAGTGATGCGATCACATAAAAGGAGGCAATGTCCAAAACTAATGATCAATGATGAGCGTTTTCAGCGCAAGATTTTGCAGACATGCCGAAACAATGGTTTGCAACGTTGGGCCACGTGCTGGCGGGCGTCATGGTTTTTTCTGCGCCCCGGTTATGAAACCCAACTAACAACTGCCAAAGCATACGCACGCTCATGAAACAGAAAAAAACATCTCTTGGGAAACAATACGACCGGACACCAAAAGGATTGTTTTTGGTTTTCCCTTAGGAAAAATTAGTTTTCGGTGCACAAACCAAATTTTTCCTAGACGAAAATGGTTTTGTGCTAAAAAACCAACTATTTCCTAAAGCAAAATTGGTTTTCCTGCCCACAATAGTTCTTTGCCAGGGAAAGATTGGTTTGATGCAGACAAACCCACTTTTTCCCAGTAAAACAATGGTTTTGGGCAGGAAAGCCAACTTTTTCCTGTGGAAAACCCCAAAACCATCTTTTTGGAGTCTGGCCTTATAGTGTCCCAAGGAATGGTGTTTTTTGTTTTTTTTTGTTCGCCCTTGCAAAATGTTGGCTTTTCGACCCAAAACCATCTTTCTCTCAGGAAATGCTTGGTCTTTTGGCCCAAAACCATCTTTTTCCGATGAAACATTCGTTTTAGCACCGTAGCATTTTTGTGTTTTGCTATGGTCACTAAGGAAAAGTTGGTTTTTCGTTCCAAAACCATCTTTCTCCTAGGAAAAAGTTGTGTTTTTCGGCCCAAATCCCATCTTTTTCATTGGGGAAGCCTGGTATTTCACTCCACGACCTTCTAGCAAAGAGTGTGTATTTCATTTGTGTTTGCGCGAGTAATGAGCTAGTGTTGCCAAGAAGGGTCGTCGAGTATCATGACTATTGGGATTCGATTCCGTTTAACATTAATACTACACACTTGGTGATAACGAGGACATTATTCGGATCAGTTTTGGGGTAAATAAGGAGCTAGTACTGCAAGCTTAACACAGACCAGGACCCAGGATATCAGGGTTATCACAGCTACCACTACGATTTGTTCTTGCTGGCTAGGGTTGTAACTTGAAGAAGAGAAGCATCGCGGTCAGATTGTGGGTGGTACGAAGCCTACCATGGATGGCAGGGCTGCTGTCAAGGCGAAAACCATGGACATAAAGGCGAATGACAAGGATGGGATTAGGGTTGTTGTTTGGAATCAGGAGTCAATTGACGATCCTGGTCATTATGCTGGTATCTAATACAGGTTTACCATTAGGGTTTGCATGTGTATATACACACACAAATGTACATACACGCCTATGGTCAAGTCCGACAACAAGTCCGAGATGATCATACGCTACAATCAGTCAAGAGGTGTCATATACAATATGATAATGTAAACAAACAAACGCCGGCATCATCCCTAAAAGTTTCAGGGCCATCAATTGCAACGCCAGAGCGATGGCAAGGGTCGTGGTTCTGAATGCATATCGTTTTGTGTCGTTGAATATGTGCATGAATGTGACAGCTACCGTTGAAGTAAATGTTGGGCAAGTATCTAGGTTACCTGTATTCATGTTAACAGTAAATAGTATTAGGGATACCATGACTTTGAACTTGATGGGCTTGAATGCGTTCTAGCGATTGCACAGCTACTTCTGGATGAATTACCTGCTGATTCGGCGAATGGTCGGGGTTTCTCTCAAAGCCATTATTTGGGATGCTGTTGAAGGAAGTATCCGGCACAGTACGAATAATACCAGTGCGAACACCTTATGGGGAATATTAAATTTGCGAGTAAGGTCCATCTTGGAGTCATATCCAATATCAGGGTTGCCAAGTGGACTGCAATAGCCTTACTATCCGGGGGCCAATCAGGTTGATGTATGTTAATTATTGCATTCACCTGGAGGTCGATATGGGAGTTAAAAAGGGAATGTACAATGGGGTTCAGTCGACATCGCATTTTAATCCGTTATGAACTAAGACCTGAATCCATAGTGAACATGAATTACAAGATTGCTGTTACCATTAGGGCCAATGTAAGGTCTAGTGGCAGGGTTAGTCTTACGGATACCGTTGTTTAGGAATAGGAGTCAGTCAAGGCCCACGGTCATTCATATGTATTGCTGAGGCTTTGATCTGAAGTTAAAATTAAGGCAACTTTGACAGAAATGGCTTTCATCGTTGGAGAAATCAGCTTCTGCCGATATAAATGCGCTGTCTCCTCGGAACTTCGAATCCCAACGTTAAAACTGGATCATACATCAGAAGCTTAAGCGTCGGAGGATTGGTGGCGCTATCGCGGCACCTCGCGGTAGTTCTTGGTGGGGTGTGTATATATATATATATAGAGAGAGAGAGAGAGAGAGATAGATAGATAGATAGATAGATAGATAGATAAATAGATAAATAAATACATAGATACATACATACATGCTAAGAGTGCTTATTTGTTTGCCGTCGTTGCTTTTTGCTGTCGTTGCGAGGGCGTGTTTATTTTTTTGCTGTCGTTGCGGGGGCTCGTTTACTTTGCTTGCTGTCGTTGTGGGGGCACGTTCTTTTTTTGCTGTCGATGCGCGGGCGCGTTTATTTTTTGCGCTGTCGTTGCGGGGGCGAGTTTATTTTTTGCGCTGTCGTTGCGGGGGCGCGTTTATTTTTGTTGCTGTCGTCCCCGGGATCGTGTTTATTTTTTTGCTGTCGTCGCGTGGGCGGGTTTATTCTTTTGCTGTCGTTGCCGGGGCGCGTCAATTTTTTTCTGTCGTCGCGGGGGCGCGTTTATGTTTTTGCTGTCGTTGCGGGGGCGCGTTTATTTTCCGCTGTCGTTGCAGCAACCAGGGTTCACTCAGCCACTGGCTTCCTGGGTCCGCGCAACGACGACAAAAAACAACATAGAGCAACTACAGCAAAAAGATAAGCACGGGTTCCCATACACACATACATCCATACATACATACATACATACATACATACGTACGTACGATGTACATACATACATATATACATATATATATGTATATATAGATATATGTATTTACTTATTCATCTATATTTATGTTTATATATGCATGTATATATGCATGTATGTATGTATGTATGTATGCATGCATGCATGCATGCATGCATGCATGTATGTATGTATGTATGTATGCGAGTATGCATGTGTATATACGTATATAGGTATATGTGTCTTTGTATCTGTCTAGCTATCCGTCCATCCGTCCATCTCTCTCTATCCATCTATGTACCTACCTATATATCTGCACACATACGTTGTATACACAAACATACCTATACCTGTACCTATGCCTATACCTATCTATCTATACACACAGCACATATTAAAATACTTAAGCACAGCCAAGTGTCCCAATTCTCCTTGGCTGGGTTGGATCATTCAAGAGCGGATCGCAAAAGACCATCACACTTGCAAGCGACTGTCTGCATCGTGGCACTGATGGTCGTTCGCCACAAACATCAGGCCCGAGTTGGGATAGAAGCTAACATCGTTGACAACCTCGCCCGCCGAGGCTTGTGTGCTCGAAAGCAACCGGTTTACATCATCCTGCAGGGAATGCCGGCGGGCGGCACTCTGTGATTCGACAGATGCCTTCATCGATCCTGTCGTTGCGCCCCAGACCTGGTCCAGAACAAAGCGGATGTTAGATGATGTTTGAAGGAGCTCCTGTCGTGGCTTGCACAAAACGTCAGCTTCCTGCCTTGATGGATTTCTTGTCAGAGGATGCAACCAAAAGATCTGACGACTCTGGCCCACAGCCATGAAAGCAAAGCGAAGTTATCGCATAGTCATTCCTGAGTCGATGCTCCCAGGCCTAGTCGGCATAGCCCTTCCTCGCAAGAAGTACTCCTTGATTTGCGTGACAAGTCGCATATGGTCGCGTTGAGCCAACGGGCGGCTGCTTCGAAGGTCGTAGACACGAACGATGCCCTGTCAGCAAAAATGGCGACACATTGCTTCTGGAATGCAGCATGTCTCCGCATCTAGAGGGCTTGAGGACATCCTGTTCGAGAACCACGTGAAAGAAATGACAACGTTGTGCACGTTGATGTAGCGTTGGCATGTCTTTGCTTATGCACGGCTTGATGCAGTCGAAGCGTGAGCACGAGATTTAGAAGGGTAGACCACCATGCTGATCGGCTGCCGTACAGGACTTCGGTACACGGCAAAAGAATGCAACGAACGTGATAAAGCCAGGTGATGTGCACTGGATGAGGAGGAAGGAACAGCATCGTACTCTCAGCGTTCGAGCTCAGCAAAGCAGTTGTGAAGGCTGGGCGGTCAGTGACGGCCAAGGGTGGATAAAATGGGCGCGATTGGTTCGTGGAGTTGCTGTGCTACTTGCTACCAGCGAGGGGGCAGCCACAGTGTCCGACTGTAGGGTCGCTGTGAGCGTCGCTGTTGGTCAGATGATGTCAGATGCCTGTCAATCCTATGCTGAGCATCCGCTGGTGTACTTGGAGGCGGTCGTGTTGGGTTGGGTCTTGCTGTAGGGTCGGCGTGGTGGGCAGCTAGTGTTCGGGAGGCGGCATGGCGTCACCGAGGATCGGATGTGTGCCGGTCCTCTCTCTCTCGCTCTCTCTCCTGGGCATGGGGGACGG